GGTTTAACAGTCGTGACTCACAGACCCTTTCAAATCTCTGCAACATAGAGAGAAGTCAACATACAAATTCTAAACTTGAAATTCACTGACTCAGAAGTAGACCAGAAATCATGTTTATCAAGTTGATCTTGAGAAATTCTTGATGCTGGTTCACATTACAGATTCACTGGAAGAAAATGGAGTCATTATTCTGAAAGCAGCTTTAGCTAACAACCCACAAAGTCAGGGAGAATTATCATACTTTTAGTATCACACTAATTCCATAAATACATAGACTATATGCGAGAACAAGCACTGCAGGGAGGTTCCCTTATCTGCTTTATATAAATAGGCAGCAGTTATTTCCAAACTAGTAGATGTAATAAATTCTTACTTATACAATCCAACGTAAAATTGCCTTTATTGTATTTCTTGAAAATCAGTTTGTAGAGAAATATTGAAATGATCAGTATAATACAACATCACATATAATGCAGACATACAGGAATACACCCAAAAACAATACCTTAGGAAATGGTCATCACAATCGTGGATAAGGATATGCACATTAAACAATGAAATCATGATTGTGTAGCTTTACAGAAAATAACAAATGTCAGCTATGCTCTCCGGTGGCATAGATGTGAAGGTAAAGCACCTACTGATGGTAGTGCTGAGGGAGACGCCTGTGATGGCAGAGATCCCATTTACAGAGCACTCACACGTGCCAGATGCTGTGTTAAGTTTGGCAAATAATCGTTCACTGGGGCATGAATCCATTACATGTGAGCACATACGTATGAGTGTGTGTGTGTGCATACATATATCTGTGTGTTCACTCTACTGATTTTTTTCCAAAAAAAAAAAAAACTCATTCAGAAAGGAAAGAAAGACAGGCAAGGTAAATGACTTGTGGAGGGGAGAGTGTTCAGGGTGGTTTGTGTGTTTCTAAGGTAAGAAAGAGGTAAACAAATCTAAGCACTGAAGGGTGCCAGAAAGTGCAGACGTGAAAGCTAACCTCGTTCTGTGGACCAGCAGGAGCAGGGGGAGGATGAGATGAGAAGGGTGGTTAGGGTGATGGGAGCTTGACAGGCTTCAGTTTCAAAGCGAGGGGGGGAGCAGGCAGGCAGGATGGGAGCTTGCAGCCTTGAAGAGTGTTTACAGCGGCCACGATGATCCCAGGAGGCCTGACTTATTATAATCAGCAAATGATCTGGAATTTTCTAGAAGGTTGAGGAACAGATCAAGAAGGAGAAAAACTGCAAAGAAGGGGGTTTGAAACTTTAAAATAGAATGTTATTTTATGATTTAATTTGTAGATCAAATCCCAGTTGAGGAGAAGGTCTTGCCTAGCAATACGGTAACTGGAATAAAAGTGGGCACAGAGATGAGAAGTTAGAAGGTAAGAGTAGAGTGACCTCCAGAAGCTCTGGGCACAGCACACCAGGAGGTGTGGCTTGTTGGAGGAGGTGTGTCTCTGTGAGGGTGGGCTTTGAGATCTCATACAGCCCAAATCATGCCCAGAGCTACAGTCCATTGCAGGGCAGAGGCCGATGACCTTCCCAGAATGGTAGGGAGAGACTGGACACAGGTGATGTTTACCTGGAGTGCATACAGGACACATGACCTGGAAAGACACAGAATGTGTACAAAACCGCGACAGGTTGCTTCTGAGCCTGTGTCCCTTCACTGCTGTCTGCTCTCTATACTAGCCTGCAAAGATTGACTTAAAGATTTCTGATATTATTACTTCAAAAGGGATATTTTTAAACAGCAATGTTTTCTTTCTTCTCTGATATACCAGGCAGAGCACTTCTTAACCTATGGGCTAATGGAAATTTCTCCAGTTTACCAAATAAATTATCTGGTGGTCATCAACTGACTAAGCTATGATTCAACTCAGTTCTAACACAATTTACCCTGAAATAGTTTTGTAGCTCACATATTGAGGTCTCAGTTCCATAAGACTGTTTCATAACATGCCAATCATGAGTAGTTGGTTGTCACTGTAGCACAAATAATAAAAACCCAGAGACAGACATTGGGGTTCAACCTGAAGATCAGAAAAGCAAAACAGTCAAGCCACTAGAGAGCTCTTACCTCCATGAAATCTTCAGACTGAAAGAGAGTGAGTTCTGGTTTCATCCTGCTTTATATTCCTCTCGAGAGCTGGAATTAAAGGTGTGCACCACCACGTGGCCTCTATGGCTAACTACTGTGGTCGCTGGGATTAGTGTGCCACCACTGCCTGTCCTGTTTGGCTGACTCATGTGGCTATTTTGTGTTCAGGCAAGCTTTATTCATTAAAATACAAATAAAATACCACTACATGTCACCAATGTGTCCAACTGGTTGGCCATAAGTCTTGACTTGGTTAACTAATTTGCTAGGATGCAGCAAGATACTCGGAGTGCTACTTGGACTACCTGATTTATCCCAGAGGGTATTACATAGAATACAGATAATCACATGGATGAAAAGTGAAATATTCAGGGTGGGAGTTGGAGCCTTCCTGTCCTCTCTGAGATGCTATTCTCTCACACCTTTTGATGCAGAGCCACCAAAAGGTCACAACATCGTGATCGTCATGACTCTCTATTTTTGTTTATGGTACTGATGCTGAACCTATAGTTTCATCATGCTAGGGAGGCCCTCCACTGCTGATTATGGAGCTTAATCTCTCAGACCCCTGCGTGCCTTTTTCTGGTTTAGTAGAAAGGGCTTTCTACAGGCCAATCCCTCTATCCCTCTCATACTCTGGTCACTCAGTCTTTCTAGTGACTGGCCTCTTTCAGAAGCAGAGACTTAAATCACCTTATTAGCATAATCCTAAATGTGATCAAAAGGGACAACAAAAGACATTCTTGTCACTCAGGAAATGCCAAAGGTCTTAAGAGTTCTGTGACATGAGCAAGGGACAGAGACTAACACATTTCATACTGTGTTACACTCCTTCACTCACATCCTCCCCTGGCTGCCCACCTTCCTCTGAGCAGCTTCAGTATCTGCACCAAGGTTTTCAGAATCCGCCCTACCCACCCGTCTGGCTTCATTACTACCTGTCCTTCCTATTCAGTCACAAGACTGCCTTCCTTTGTCCTCCTCTCTCGAGACTTGTCCTCACTTCAGGGCCTCTCTTCCTGCTTGTCCGTATGCCTGGAAAACCTTTCTCCCAGAAAGAGAGAAAACCTTTCATTTGTCTTTGATCTCCTACTGTGCCCATTCTATAGTATACTGCCTCACCTACATCCCAGCGTTTTGTTTTTTTTAACATATGCTCTAACTTTGTTCCATTGCTGTGAAGAGATACCCTGACCAAAAGAAAGCATTTAATTGGAGGCTTGCTTACAGTTTACTAGAAGGCTAGTCCGTGATCAAAATGGCAAGCAGACATGGCACTAGGGCAGTAGCTAAAAGCTTACATTGGTCTGCAAGAAGGTGTTGGGGAGGGAGGCAGGTTGAATTGGGTGGATTGAGCCTGGTAGGGCCTTATGAAACCTCAAAGTCCATCTTCAGAAGCATACCTTCTCCAACAAGGACACATCTCTTCCAATAAGGTCACACCTCCTAATCCTTCCTATAAAGTCTACCAGTTGAAAACCAAGTATTAAAATATATGAGCCTATGGGACATTCTCATTCAAAACTACCACATGGTCCATTGCCACGAAATTTTATATATATTAACTTAGGATTTGTTCCCTACCCCAACCCCAGCATACCTCCCTAAGGATACCAGCTACTAGAGGGTAGAATATACAATAATTAGGTGCCACAGTAGGCATTTGTTGTAATTATTATTTCGGGATAAGTTCTTCCTATGTTTACAGACATGTGCCACCACACCCAGTCATAAATAAGCATACTTTTTAATGAAGCCAAGGCAAATGACATCTGTGGAAGGGAAGGAAGACTGTGAGGGTATTGAAGGGCTTTATTATTTAGTGCCTTCTCTAAAGAGAATTAGAGGCCAGACTCCAGGATCTAGCAGCCCCAACTGGTTAGGCTCAGCCACCCCATCACAATATACCAGGTTAAAGGCACAATGGTGAAAAGCAGGGAAAGGGGATCCAGTGAACATGTTGAGAAACAGATGGGCCCAGTGACCCCAAATCTTCATTTGGGGTACTTATAGAAGCTGTGGGAAGGGACAGGAAGAAGTGGGAAGAAAGATGCAAAATTAGGCATCTTAGTCAATATGCGAACTCATCAACCCCATGTCTCAACTCTGACTCTTCAAGGTCCCAAGATATTCTTAGTGGAGAAGCCAACCTGATCCTTAGAAGCTTTTACTTCTGTCCCCGCAATTGTGGGTAGCAACTCCCATATTGTAGGTCAGGGATTCTCTCTTCCTGGAATCTAAGGTGACTACAGGTTTAGGGCAATGACTACAGACCATTAGGAACCTGTATTAGTTTCTTGCTGAGGGCCAAAAGGGTCCAACAAACACAACTTGGGGAGGGATTTGTTTTGGGTCACAGGTGGAGGTGAAATCCAGTGTGTCAAGGAAAATCTTAGTGAGAAGAGGTCTAGCCATTGCAGACAGAACCTGAGGCAGCTACTCATATTGTATGTGTGAGAGACACACTGGTACTCAGCATTTTCCGTTCAGCCCAAGACTCCAGCCTGTAGGAGGGTGCACTCATGTTCCCCCAAGGTTCATTTCTCCTCAGTTAAACGTGACTGGAAACACCCTCACAGATACCCAAAGATATGTCCTCCATTTGATTCCTAATCCTGTCAGGTTGACAATCAAGATTAACCATGTTGGCACCTTCAGGGATCTGAAACAGGACATTGTAAACTACTGACTAGAAGGGGTTCACATTCTTCTTATCTTTGTTCAGTGAGTCCTGGAGAGGAGGAGAAAGGTCAGGCATTACCAGCTCCTAGTCAGGACACAAGTGGGCAGAAGCACAGCGTCAGGGCACCTCACCAGATATTTCCTATCGCAGTGCGGTACAGTCTGACTTTGGGTCCACTCTCCCATTTCCCTCAAATGTGCTTTCCTAGCATGGCCTTTCCTCTAAACTAGCACTCCCACTCTTCCGCCTGGACCAGCCTTCCATTCTCCTGCAGCTCGCCAATACCACACCTCAGCAACCTTCAATACCAGGTTCAAACTTCTGTCAAGGACCAGCCTCAAATATGCAAATAATAAAACAGAAAACGTAGGAAGTCTCAGGAGGGCATTCCAGTTACTGGAATCCTGAAATTCACCCACAGCTTTTATGCCCAAGGTCAGTGGGGGAGGGGGGTAACAAAAGACTTTATTAACATGATACAAAGGAAAACTCACACAGTCAATCACTTTATCACTCCGAGATATCAAATCATTAGCATTCTGTTGTCTAGGTAGCAAAGGTACTCTAGATCCTGCATGCTGGAGTCCATCCCTCCCCAGGTGACCTCATAGTTACAAATGTAGGAGCAGAAGTACGTTTGCATATCCTGACCACCTGTCAGGATGGTGTGGATTTATCTTAATTTCAAAAGAACAAGCAATCACATCCTGAGTTGCTACGTGCAACTATGTTTGTCAGCCTCCAAATTCTCTGACCATCAAACACGGTGGAAATAGCCCTGCATTTTCATCCTCCACAGTTCCTCTGTTTTTATTAATTTTTATAAAGCCTGTGCTTCTACAGCACGACACATGATCGCGTCTGCGTTAGGTGAACACTTTCCTGTTTGCCAGACGTACCTGTATTTTAATAATACAAGCCCGGGTTTTAGGAGCCTGGGAGGAAAAAGGATCAAACTCCCCCACCACCACCACCACCACCTGCAATGTCTGCCAACCTCTGTAAACAAAGGATTAAAGGAGAAAAATACTTCTGGGCTCTGTGTCTCTCCTCAAGAAAGTTTATCTGCAATTAACATGTCCCCGTGGCTACAGTCTCCTAATTAAGAGAGAGAAGGATCACAAGGTTAGGAATGCATTTTTCAATTGGTCTACAGTGCTTCTTAACAATTTCTAGCTGTATCAAAATCTAAATTTCTTATTAAGTATGTTGAATCCAAGTACCCATAGGAAATGTCAAACTTTTCTCAACATCTTATTGTGAACTACAGCAGTTACAAATATTAAACAGACAATACTATAATTCTAGAGTGGAAATTAACAATAACCACATAATTTGTCATATCACAATTCTCTTAAATCCATTCTAATCAAAAGACAAGAAAAGGTTTCTTTGATGGGTGAGAGTCCAACCACATTGCTGCTTTTAAGTGATTGTCCCAGTCTCTGAGTAACAGCAAAGACCCTTAGGTTCCCCTCCTGACATTTGAAGATGTGCTATCAGTCACTCCTTGTAATGAGTCCTCCCCGGCCAGGAGAAAGGTTAGGTCTCAGTTCTCAAGTCCTATATTTCAGCAGCAGTATTGAATACCATACTGTCAAAATGAGTTCTGTGTCCCAAAGAGTAAAAAAGTCAAATGTTCAGTCTGTGTTTCTGGTGTGGTTCCAAGGTAAACAGGACTCACTAGGTCTGGAAGTCTGCACAGCAAATCCATTAAGAGGCTGGGAATCACCAGTAGTTACTATGATCTGATTTCCCTTGCCAGACTGCAGCAGGCTGTTGTCAGGATCATGGCAGCAGCCAGAGCAGCGGCAGCCTCAGTGGCTGTGTGGGTACTGAGTGTCCCGACACAGCCCAGTGTCACACCGAATGGCTGAAGCAGGCCGACCTTGCGTCCTAATCTCGGTTCCACAGACCCCTTTTCTTGGCCTGCAGCATGGTAGTATAAAGAAATCGGGGTCACAGGTTCAGGAACCTCTTCCTGCTTCTCCTATGGCGTCATCAGCTGCTGTGATGCCATCAGGACTGGCATCCTCTGCTATATATGTAGTCATCTCACTCAGCTTTATTTCCTTCCTGTGAAAAAAGCACAAACATATCCTCAACCCCAAATTATACAGGGTCAGGTTTTTTCCATAATCCAGTGTAAGGGTTTTTTTCACCTTGCCTTAGCAAAATTTGCCTTGGAGCCATCATGCCAAATCTGCCCCCAGAAGATTGCTCACAGGCATCCATAAAATGTGTATAAATTAAAGCATTATGTGACGATTCTTAACTCTTCTGTTTTTAACCTTTTAGGTTGTTTTCAAGGAGCCATGGGCATGGCCCACAATCCTTTTCGCCATTAACAAGATATGCAGGTCTTCCATTGGAAGAAACATCTGTAAACTTTAGTATTACATCCTTCAAGGGATCTTTAGCTACAACTTTAGGGAAAATAAAGGAATATAGCTGTGCAAATTGCAGCAACAATCATCTGGGAAAAGATTATTAATCTGGCGTCCAAATTGAGCAAAAATGCAATTGCCCAACAATTAAAATAACCAAACAATTTGTTGCTTACTATAAGGAACATTGATCGTAGCTGGTTCCCTGCCAAAATATCTCCTAGATTCCATCCTGCTTTTCTGTGCTAAGGAAGCTATTGCTTCAAAATTAGGGTTTAATACCTAACTGGTGAAAACGAGAAGGTGCAGCCATAGAAGCAGGCCATTTGCCATAAGACTGCTGTAGGAGTAAGTTTTGTAGGTAATATACACACTTGCCAAGGTGATAATTAATATAATATGTTAGATTAATTATAAGATAATAATACAATGTACTATGTTAATTATATAATAATTATCATAATGATAATTAATATAATGTATTTGCTGTTTCTATATAGCACATTCTGCCTCAGTGAGTACCTGTCTGGTAGCTTCTGTAAGCTGTCTACTGGAATTTGAATCACTGCTCCCTTCAAGAATTTCACTTAGTGGCTCAAGGTCTCCCATAAGGATATTTTAGATGAGGTTTTAGCCATTGTATGTCTTATTAAAAGTTTGTAAGCTGTCTTTCTAATCCAAATTGCAAGTCTGCCTAGCTGACAAGAAAATGGAAAAAAAAAGAAAGTATCTTCAACAAATGATAATGGCATAACTGAATATCAACATGTAGAAGAATGAAAATAGACCCATTTTCATTACTATGCACAAAGCTCAAGTCCAAATGGATCGAAGACCTCAACGTAAAACCAATCACATTGAACTTCATAGAAGAGAAAGTGGGAAGTACACTTGAACGCATTGACACAAGAGACAACTTACTAAATACACACCCAGTTGCACAGACACTGAGAGAAAAAATTAATAAATGGGACCTCCTGAAACTAAGAAGCTTCTGTAAAGCAAAGGAAATGATCATTCCAAGACAAAACATCGGCCAACAGAATGGGAAAAGATCTTCACAACCCCACATTGAAGAGAGGGCTGATCTTCAAATTATACAAAGAACTCAAGAGATTGGTCATCAAAAGAATAATCTAATAAAAATGAGGTACAGATCTAAACAGAGAACTCTCAAAAGACAAATCTAAAATGGCTGAAAGACACCTAAGGAAATGCTCAACATCCTTAGCCATCAGAGAAATGCAAATTAAAATAACTTTGAGATTTCCTCTTGCATCTGTGAGAATGGCCAAGATAAAAAACACTAATGACAATTTATGCAGAAGAGGATGTGGGGTAAAGGGACCACTCCTCTACTGCTGGTGGAAATGGAAACTGGTGCAACCCCTTTGGATACCTGTAAGGCGATTTCTCAGAAAATTAGGAAACAACTTGACTCAAGATCCAGTAATACCAATTTTGGGTATATCCAAAGGATGCTCAATCATGCCACAAGGACATGTGCTCAACTATGTTCATAGCAGAATTATTTGTCATAGCCAGAATCTGGAAACAACCTAAATGCATCTCTTTTACACAGATGATAAATGGGCTGAGAAGGAAATCAGAGAACCATCACCCTTCACAATAGCCATAAATAACATAAGATATCTTGGAGTAACTCTAACCAAACAAGTGGAAGACCTGTTTGATAAGAACTTTAAATCTTTGAAGAAAGAAATTGAAGAAGATACCAGAAAACGAAAAGATTTCCCATGCTCTTGGGTAGGTAGAATTAACATAGCAAAAATGGCATGCTTACCATAAGCAATCTACAGATTCAATGCAATGCCCATCAAAATCCCAGCAAAATTTTTCACAGACCTCGAAAGTGTAATACTCAACTTCATATAAAAAAGCAAAAAAACCCGGGATAGCCAAAACAATCCTGTACAATAAAGGAATTTCTGGAGGCATCACAATCCCTGACTTTAAACTCTACTACAAAGCTACAGTACTGAAAACAGCCTGGTATTGGCATAAGAACAGACAGGAGGACCAATGGAACCGAATCGAAGACCCAGATATTAATCCATACACCTTTGAACACCTGATTTTTGACAAAGCAGCAAAAGATGCAAAATGAGAAAAAAGAAAGCATATTTAACCTGCTGATTTACATTTCCGCAGACACATGACTGGCCTGAAGCTACAGTTCCCTGAGGCTACTCCTCCCCCCCCCACCCCCGTTTCTTGGCTGTTAGGTCAAGCTAGGCTCCTAGCTGAAGCTGGGCCACAAGGTGGAGCACAAGCCGTGCTTCCTCTGCTGCTTGACTGTCCTGCCTGGTACTAGGGACCAGGAGATGCCCGTCCCTCATTGCCTGCTGTGGTGGGCACAGGCTATGCTTTTTACATTTAATACTCTCATCAGAGGCCACGGTTAGAGGTGGCTGATAAATTTACAGGCTCTCAGGAGACTGCCATTGTAGCGGCTCTGAGACTTCAGCGTGAGACCATAAGCTTAGGCGGGTATAGCCATGCCAGTTCTTACTATCTTTGTACTATCTTTGCTTATTTCTTGTAAATCCTGTAACCATAAAATTTGGAGAATTCCTGAGTCTTCTCCTCTGTTAAAAGTCATAGAATTATCCACATAGGCTTTTTGATTGTGGGTCAGTTAGCCTCTAGGCATTTCCATTGACCAACTGGGGCGCTGACTGTGGGAGGTGCAGCCCTTCCAACTCTCCTGTCTTCTGCCTTTTCTGGCTCCACCGCATATCGTGGGTCAGACTCAGCTGGTTACAGCACGTGTGCGTGGACTGCCACAATCTCAGTGGTAACTCAGGCCGTTGCTAGGCCAAACGTCGCATTCCCTTTACTCTTCACGCCTGACCGTTAGAGGCTGCGGCTCAGTGACCATAGCTCAGTGACCATAGCTCTGCCGCTGGCAGGGGCCAGCCTTACTTTGGCCTCCCCGAGACCTGGAGCAACGGAGCAGGGACGGAAATAAACTATTTACAAACTCTAAATATCTCTGCCTTTGTTTCTGCTCCACTTCAGCTCCTCTAACTATCAAAATACATCTAACAACTGTACTGATAGTTGAATACTATTTTTTTGCCCCATATTTACAACTATTTACAGTTTTATTCCACATTTTTCCTGCCTTTCTCTTTCCTTTTTGCTATCTGTATTTATTTTTGAGTACACATTGCTCACCTCTCCACCTGCGGTGCAATTTTCTCATGGGGTTACTCACATACTCTCTTGTATGCTTGGACATTTGTGTGTATTTCGGGGTTCACTAGTCAGTTCCACCTTTTGGTGCCATATGTTGAGGACTGGCCTCGACAAAAATACTTCTTACCAGAGTAGGGGCATGGAAATTGAAGAAATTTAAGCAAAGAATATGAAGATGCATAAAATAATAAAACAGAAAGCATAGAAAGTATCTGGAGTGCATGACAGTTGCTGAAATCCTGAAATCCACCTGCGGCTATTTTTCCACAGTTTTTACACCCAATCTAAACAGGGGAGGGGGAGAGAAAGTGACAGAAGATTTTATTAGCATGATACAAAGGATAGTTCACACAATCACTTTATCATTCTGAGACATCAAATCATTAGCACTCTGTAGTCTAGGTAGTAAAGGCGCTGTAGATCCAGTATGCTGAAGACCGCCTTTCCACAGGTGACTTCATAGTTACAAAAGGAGCAGAGGTACATTTGCATATCCTGACCACCTGTCAAGATGGCATGGACTTACTGGAATGAGCTATCTTAATTTCAAAAGAAGCAAGCAGTCACCTCCTGACGCACAACTATGCTTGTCAACCTCCAAACCCTCTGACCGGCAGACATGGTGGAAACAGGCCTGCATTTTTCAGTCTCCACAAACTTCTCCATGGCAAAGATTCCCTTTGTAATTGTCTGAGGGGCATTGAACTCCCAGCAGTTATGGACTATGGAATTCATTTAATAATTTGTTATAGCCCTCAATTTTTGCATTGAACTCTTTATAAGTTTATAACTTGTTCCCTATAACTTTTCTTGTGTAGATATTGTCTTATTGCCTCTCCTGTTTCCTAGAAACAGTTGTGAAGGTTTTATTTGTCTTTGAAACCCCCATATCACTTGATAGAAAACTTGACATAGAGAAGGTATTTAGATCATATCACACAAGCTGGCCTTGACCTCAGGGCACAGCCAGGGATGATTTTGAGCTTCTGCTCACCCCACCTCTCCTTCCAGAGCGCTAAGATTGCGAGTATGTACTACTATGGCTACGTGGATTTGTGTAAATCTGGAATAAAACTCAGAGCTTCATTGACACTAGACAAACTCTGTGAATTGAGATACATTACTAGCCCTATTATTTAATTTCAAGAGGAAACATATTTTATTAAAGTTCCTTCTGAAGTTAAACCTTCCCAGGAATGAATCTCAAAACAATAAAGGACCACTACATTAAAGATTACACCTTTTTAAGGAAGATTTATTTATTTATTTATTTATGTATACAAATTCTACCTCCATGCATGCCTGCACACCAGAAGAGGGTGCCAGATCTCATTACAGATGAGCCACCATGTGGTTATTAGGAATTGAACTCAGGACCTCTGGAAGAGCAGTCAGTGCTCTTAACCTCTGAGCCACCTCTCCAGCACTAAACATTGCATCTTTCAAAGCTGATTTTAACTTGTTTCTTGCTAATGTCCACAGTGGACACACAGCGCCTAGTCTTGTTGTCTTCCAAACAATCTCTTAACATGAGAGTACTGTGGAATAGTTCTTCTCACAACAGGGTATTGCATCTTCTTTTGCTCTTTCCTGGCTGATTGAGAGCAGCCCTGGAATCAGATGTTCAAGTTCGAATCTGATGTCTGCCAGTTGCTATGAGGGTGAGTCTGAGTAAATTGCTGAACTGCATCCATTTCATCATCCCCAAATAGGCATTACATCATGCTTCTCTTGGGTCTGTTGGAGGGACTAAACGGATCTCATGCTGTGACACTGTCAGGGAAGTATCTGCTGTCCCTTGAAGCCCTTGTTCCTTGTGAGCTGTCAATTCTATGTGACTAGACATTTCCACGTTACTGTCTGCTGTGCTTTCTCTTGCCACCCCCCAGCCTACCTTTATCATCCAAGAACAGAGAAGGAGCTGGAGCTTCTTGCCGCTTCACCTCAGGGACAGATTGCATCCTCAATGTTGCCACTTAGTTTGTGTGCTATTTTAGGCAAGCCTTTCGGCATCTTTGGGGTGCTGTAAAATCAAGGAGTAAATATCTGTGCAAGTGCTTTGTAAATAGTATACTTGCTTCACCCCAAACAAGAAAATGAGTTTAATTGGTCCCATTTTGAAAAATCTTACCCTTTAGATAACATACTTCTGAAAAATGGTAACTCTCTCTCTGCAATTGGATTAAGCAGGTTATCTCATTTCGTCTGGGTGGTTTGTTTTTTATCACAAGTATGCATGCCGTGGAGAGTCTTTCTGAGCCAGTGAGATGCTTCCTTCTCTAGTCTGAAATTGGGTTGGTCTCTTAAACAAGGAACCTCATTCACCAAAGCCATACACAGTTTTCATGCTTTAAAGGCCGTCCCTCAGCTGGCACAAAGGAGCTCTGTAGGGAATGGTAATGCAATTAGGTTGATATGAGCCAGAGGAGGAAGAACACTCAAATCACGCATCCTTCCTGTGGGCTCAGAGACAAGCAGTTAACATGGATCTCTAACGTGTTGCTCCTAACCTCCAGTCCCAGGGGTGCACTTTTACCTGGATGACCCTGTAAATTACTAAACTCACTGCCTTAGATACTACGTCTGTAAAATGAATGCAACCATGATCCCTGGGTTGTTGGGAGGATGAGGAGAATCAATATATATTAGTACTGCTACATGCCAAATGAATACTTGTTGCTACAATATGCATAGTCAATACATATACTCACTGCATAGAGTACAGAAGGATTGTTCTAAACAAAAGAAGCCTTCTCAAATGCCTGCCTCATCTCTGGGAAACTGTGCTGGGATACACGGAAAACTCACTTGATTATTTTTTAAGACTAATTTAAAAGTAACAAAGGCCATATAGGTTTCTCTTCTTTCCTGATTTCCCAGGACCACAGCCAAGATCTGGAAATGTTGATCCAAACAGTAGCAATGTTAGAAAACATGGAGGGGCTGTACCTCAATACTTCTTAATTCTATTGCTTAAGGCTCACCAGAAGTCATTCCCAATGAACTGTCCCCTGGGTTCCTGGGACAGAGAGAGGAAGCAAGGAGGAGAAAGAAGGAAGAGAGGGAGGGTGAAGGGAGAGAGGGAGATTTAGAAAGACCAAATTGAATCCCTTTGGGGTAGGAAATCAACCTCTGTTCCCACCTTTCCTTTTCTATACCTTAAAAGGAAATATGGGGATTAGAAAGATAGATGTCTGAATCTTCTGCCAGATATGACTGGTCACCTTAAGCTTGAACTATCTGTTGGCTTAATCTTGAAAACGTTCTGCCAGTGCAAAGAACTCCAATCAAACCAGATTAGACCAAATTAAAATGCCCATGTTTAATAAATATGGCACTGGGGGGAGGGGACTGAGACAGCACGGCGGTGAGAGGAGCCCACACAAACCCAAAACCACATGTTCCTTTTTCCTTCGCGAGCCTAAATGCCCTGTGGGAGGGGTCAGCGCTTGGCAGGCTGGGAGATGGAGTCCAGAACAATGCAACTCCCAGGCCAGAAGCTGGGGTGATGATTCCAATCTTTCATCCCAGGATATAGGTATGTTAGAGGGCTGGGGTCTCACTTTCAATCAAACACTATTCCATAACCCAGTGAATATAAAGCACTGAGAATCAGATAACTGAGCCTTCTCCTAAGGAACAGCAGGCAAGGGTCCATCAAAAGTTACTTCTGCAGAGGAAACCTTCATCCGACGTTGGATGGCGATACAGACGGAGATCCATATTGGAGCACCGGACGGAACCCTCCACGGTCCAAATGAGGAGCAGAAGGATGAAGAAAATGAAAAAAGAAATCAGGACTGCGAAGGGCGCCATCACCCACTGATACAAGGAGACTGATCTAATGAGAGTTCACCAAGGCCAGCTGGACTGGAACTGAATGAGCACGTGATCTAACCAGATTCTCTGAATGTGGCCGGATTCTCTGGATGTGGCTGGCCCAGAGTCTTTCTGAAAAGCCATTGACAATGACACTGGGACTTGTTTCCTCTGCATATACTGGATTTTTGGGATCCAGTCTGTTTGGATACTCACCTTCCTGGACCTGGAGGGAGGGGGGAGGAACTTGAACTTCCCACAGGGCAGGAAACCCTGACTACTCTTAGGGATGGAGAGGGAGGAGGAGAGAAAGTGGGGGAAGTGGGAGGGTGTTGGGAGGAGGGGCGGAAATGGAAACTTTTATAATTTAATAAACTTTATGAAAAAAAAGTTACTTCTGTCTCCGCATAAAGGGAAATGTCCTCAAAGGGCCTAAAGCAGATCTTCAGAAATGCATAGCATCAGGAGAAAGTTGTTATACACTGCAATTTAGTTTGGTACTTGACTGGATCAAACTTGACTCTGCATTAATTAATGGCCATGATATCTTGTTAAAATCCACAAGTAGGTCTGTGATTCTATACATTTAACATTTCTTGGTTGATTTTGCTACCAGACAGAGGACTCTACTCTGAATAGCCCAAGTGTTCTAGGTGAATGATGTTGTATAGCTGTGTGATGCTCAGGGATTTCCACTAACCTACTACTTAATGTATAACGTGACCCATCAATGTACAGATGGCCTTTGTTGCCCACTTCCTATAAAGTAAATGATCAGAAATACTTCAGTCTTTTAGTCTAATTCTACACTTGGCAAGAGTAAATGGAGATTAAGATGCTGCTGCTGGCAAACTAGGCTATGGTGATTGCTCAGTCTGTTCACAAGCTAGGGCTAGCCATGCAACGACTCTCCTGAATACTGAAGCTTGGTGACATTTCACAAGCTTCTTGGCTTCTACATTAAACTGGAGGATAAGGAACAATGTCATTCATTATCTTCCTGATGACAGATGAAAAACACAAACAGCACTTTAAAAAAACCCTTCCTGATGGCTACTTACATCTAACTCAATTTGACTATAATTAATTAACTACATAATTCTTACTTATTGGTAATTTACATATAATTTAATTCTCTCTAAAAATGTGTCAAGGCAGGCCCAAGCCAGGGATATCTGTGGGAGCAGGCCAGAGCCAGCAACCTCTGAGGGAATAGGGTCAGGACACTGACCTTTGTGGGAGCAGGCCCAAGCCAGGGACATCTGCAGGACCAGGCCTGAGTCAATCAACTCCACCAAAGTAGGCCCAAGCCAGCAACTTCCATGGGATCAAGCTCAGTTCAGCAACCTCTGCGGGAACAGGACCAAGGCCCAAGCCAGCCCAGGCCAGCAAACTCTGCCAGAGCAGGCCTGAGCCAGCAACCTCCTCCCGAGCAAGGATAAGCCAGTGATCTCCAATCTCCACAGGAGCAGACCCAAGCAGGCTTGACTGACTTCTGGGACTGCAGAGTGATTTGTGGTACTGCAAAGCAAACTCCAGGAGCACAGAGGGACCTCCAGCTTGACTGGAACCGTGGCCCCGGCTCTACCACAAGGAACAGCCGTCTGAGCCTTGAAGCCACTGGCACCCAGAAGAGTGATCACTAGAGAAATGACCCCAGCTGCACCAATCAGAGGAAAAGGTGAGTAGACAAGATAAGAACACACCACAAAGAGCAGCATGACACCAACAAAAACAAGTGGTTCTTCAACAGCAAGACATGAACACCCCAATACAGATGAAGCAGAAGAAAATGACCTAAAAAATAACTTTAGAAGAATGTTTGAGGACATTAAAGAGGAAATGAAAGATTCTCTCAACCAAACAAAGGAAAAAAACAAACAAAAAAATTGGAAGAAATCAACAAATTACTTAAAGAAAACCAAGAAAAAGCAATCAAATAGGTGAAAGAAATATTTAAAGACTTGAGAACGAAAATAGAAACAATAAAACATAAACTGAGGAAATTCTGGAAATGGAAAATATGGAAAAATGATCAGGAACCACAGGTAAAAGCATAAACAGCAGAATACAAGAGATGGAAGAGCGAATCCCAAGCACTGAAGATACAATAGAGGAAATAGATTAATCAAGCAAAGAAAACATTAAATCTAACAGAAACTTAGCATAAACTATCAAGGAAATATGGGACACCATAAAAAAAAACAAACCTAAAAATAATAAGAGATAGAAGGAAAAGAAAAACTCAAAAGCACAGAAAATATATTCAACAAAATCAAAGAAGAAAACTTTCCCAACCTAAAGAAAGATATGCATATACAAGACGCTTAGAGAATACAAAATAGACAGGATCAAAAAGATACTGCTTGCCATATAATAATTAAAACACAAAACATTCAGGATAAACAAAGAATATTAAGAGCTGCAAAGGAAAAAGGCCAAGTAACATATAAAGGCAGACCTATCAGAATTACACCTGACTTCTCAATGGAAACAATGAAAGCCAGAAGGTCATGGTCAAATGTTATGCAGACATTAAGAGAACATAGATGCCAGCCCAGACTACTATACCCAGCAAAACTTTCAATCACCATAGAAGGACAAAACAAGATATTCCATGACAAAACCAGATTTAACCATTACCTAGCCACAAAACTAGGCCTACACAAAGTATTAGAAGGAAAACTCCAACCCAAGGAAGTTAGCTGTATCCACAAAAATACAGTCAATAGATGATCTCACAGCAGCAAATTCCAAGGGGGAAAACACACACAATAACATTACCAACAATGAAAATTAAAATACCAGGAACTAGCAATCACTGGTCATTAATATCCCTTAATATAAATGAACTCAACTCACCTGTAAAAAGACACAAGCTAACAGATTGGGTACGAAAACAGAATCCATCCTTCTGCTGCATACAAGAAACACACCTTAAACACAAAGAAAGACATCATCTCAGAGTAAAGGTTTGGGGAAAAAATTTCCAATCAAATGGACCTAAGAAACAACCTGGTGTAGCTATCCTGATATCTACCAAAATAGACTTCAAACTAAAATAATCAAAAGAGACAAAGTAGGACATTTTATATTAGTCAAAGGAAAAATCCATAAAGAGGAAATATTAATGCTGAACATTCATGCCCCAAATACAGGGGACCCTCATATGTAAAAGAAACTCCAGGCCAGGGGGATTGGGATGGATGCCAGGGGCTGGGGTGAAGTTCCCAACTTAACATCCCAAGACCTAAACAGAGAACTCTCAACAGATGAATCTAAAATGGCTGAAAGACACTTAAGGAAATACTCAATATCCTTAGCCATCTGAGTAATGTAAATGCATATCAAATAACTCTGAGATTCCATCTTACACCTGTAAGAATGACCAAGATCAAAAACACTATTGACAGTTTATGCTGGAGAGGATGTGGGGGAAAGGGAAGACTCCTCATTGCTGTTGGGGTGCAAACTTGTACAGCTGCTTTGGAAATCAGTATGACGAGTTCTCAGAAAACTAGGAAACAACCCACCTCAAGACCCAGCAAAACCACTTTTGGGTATATACCCAAAGGTTGCTCTATCATACCACAAGGACATGTGCTCAACTATGTTCATAGCAGCATTATTTATCATAGCCAGAATCTGGAAATAACCTAAATGTCCCTCTACTGAAGACTGGATAAGAAGATTTACACAATGGAGTACAACACAACAGAAAAAAATAATGACATCTTGAAATTTGTGGGCAAATGGATGGATCTAGAAAACATCATATTGAGTGAGGTAAACCAGACCCAGAAATACAAATATAATATAATAATAATCCCAGAGAACCTAGACAGCAAAGAGAACCCTAAGAAAGACATACATGGATCTAATCTACATGGGAAGTAGAAAAAGACAAGATCTCCTGAGTAAATTGGGAGTGTGGGGATCATTGAAGAGGGCAGAATAGGTCGGGGGAGAAAGGGAGGGGAGGGGAGAAAAATATATAGCTCAATAAAAACAATTAAAAAAATAAAAATTTTTAAAAAATGTGTCAGATTGCAATCATTACCCCCGTCTTGCCATTGAAGGTAACTGACACTCATCAAATGTAAGAGGTTTGCCCAAATTTATCTAACTAGTGGAAGACTACGGAAAGACAGGAACCTAAGTAGGTCTAACTTCATTTCTTCTCTCTCTGACCTTCATGCTGTCTCACAGATACCAGACACTCATCTGAAAACAAATGCAGGTTGCAGTTAACTGATACCAACTGACTCTTTTGTTATGAGTTTCCCACAAAACTAACAAAGCTTAAATTTCTAGAACTGTTAAACCAAAACCAACCAAACAAACAAACAAATAAACTCCTCCAAGCTTTGCTATCTGATTTCTTATTCTATTCTTTAAGAGCAGGAATTCACTTTCCCTTATCTACTTTTCATCCCTTTCAAGCCCTGAGGAGTGGATCTCACAGCTTCTGTTTCTGGTGGTGCGAGCCACAGCACTGTTTCTCTGGGACACCAGCTACTGCCTCCCAGATTACTCTGCTTTTGTCAGTTTGGCCAACAGGAATTCCTGTGCTGTTTTTTACTTTGTACATACAAAAATGTTTCATGCCCAACCAAAATTCACTTTCACGTGGACACAAAGACTTTCAACTACGAAAGAGCAGTGTGCTCTCTTTGGCCATGAGACCATGAGACCCTGCCAATAACTAGCAAAAAGGTCTTGACTCTCGACCTTCTGAAGTACTTGCTTTCTTATACCCCTTCTCCCAACGGATCTGTCCTCAGGAAGGTGGGATCAGCAGAATACTGTCTTTCCCCTCATTTACCTTATTTACCTGGTCTTCCTTCTTCCTGGAACCCACAGCATCCACTGACTGACAGTCTCCATGTTCTTTGTTCTACAAAAGTGGCCCATCAATTTCAAGACGTGGAATCTCCACTAATTCCAAATCTGTTCTCAGAAATATGAACCCTCCTTTGGAATTCTTCCGAGCGGATGTTAACACCTCCCATAGACGGGTGCTCTCTAACCCTGTGTGTTTATACTTCCCAGCAGATGCTAACACCTCCCATAGAAGGGTACTCTCTAATCCTGTATGTTTCATTCCTCAAAGTTCTAGTTCTCCACAAATTCCTTATTTGAAAGTTTTTTTGGAGGGGAGGTTGTCTCTCTTCTTTAATTTATTTTTATTGATTTTTATTAAGCTCTACATTTTTCTCTGCTCCCCTCCCTGTCTCTCCTCTCCCCTTCAACCCTCTCCCAAGGTCCCCATGCTCCCAATTTACTCAGGAGATCTTGTCTTTTTCTACTTTCCATGTAGATTAGATCTATGTATATCTCTCTTAGGGTCCTCCTTGTTGTCTAGATTCTCTGGGATTGTGATTTGTGGGCTGGTTTTCTTTGATTTATGTTTAAAAACCACTTATGAGTGAGTACATGTGATAATTGTCTTTCTGTATCTGGGTTACCACACTCAAAATGATGTTTTCTAGCTCCATCCATTTGCCTGCAACATTTAAGATGTCATCTTTTTTCCTGCTCTGTAGTACTCCATTGTGTAAATGTACGACATTTTCCTTATCCATTCTTCAGTCGAAGGGCATTTAGGTTATTTCCAGATTCTGGCTATGACAAACAATGCTGCTATGAACATAATTGAGCACATGTCCTTGTGGTACGACTGAGCATCCTTTGGATATATACACAAAAAGTGGTATTACTGGGTCTTTAGGAAGTTCATTTGAGTCATAACATCCATTAGTTCCCTTATTTCTCTGTTCATTTTTTTGTCTGACTGACCTGTTCAGTGGTGAGAGTGGAGTGTTGAAGTCTTCTACTATTAGTGTGTGGGGTTTAGTGTTTGATTTAAGCTTTAGAAGTGTTTCTTTAACATATGAGGATGCCCTTGTATTTGTGGCATAGATATTCAGCATTAATAATTCCTCTTGATGGATTTTTCCTGTGACTAATATGAAATGTTCTATTTTGTCTCTTTTGATTGATTTTTGTTTAAAGTCTATTTTGTTAGATATTAAGATAGTTACACCAGGTTGTTTCTTAGGCCCATTTGATTTTAGTATTTTTCCCAACCCTTTTCTCTGAGATGATGTCTGTCTTTGAGCTTGAGGTGTGTTTCCTGTATGCAGAAGAAAGATGGATTGTGTTTTTGTATCCAATCTGTTAGCCTGTACTTTTATAGGTGAACTGAGTCTATTTACGTTAAGGGATTTTAATGACCAGCAATTGCTATCTCCTATTAATTTAGTTTTCATTGTTGGTGATGTTAGTATGTGCATTTTTCTCTTCTTTGGGATATCCTGCTATGAGACCATCAGTTGTCTGTATTTTTGTTGATGTAGTCAACTTCCTTGG